CAGCAGTGTCAGGGACCCCCCCTCACCCATGCCATGGTGTCCCCGTCACCCAGGGGGGTCCCTATCCCCCCTTCCCTGGGGGCGGCCTTACCCAGTCCACGATGAGGATCTTGCCCACGCTCAGCTTCTGCTGGAGCAGTTTGGCCGAGATGGCCACCGAGTTGAAGAAGCAGAAGCCCCTGAGGAGAGGGGGCCAGGGTGAGCGTCGGGGTGGCCCCTGGGTCACCAGTGTCCCCCCAACTTCCCCACAACCAGGGGTCCTGCCGGTGCAGCCCCACACTCACATGGCCGTGGACTCCTCGGCATGGTGTCCCGGGGGGCGGATGACGGCGAAGCCGTTCTGTGGGGATAGAGAGGGACACGAGTGACACATGGCACATGCCCACACACACACACCCTGCAAGGGAGCAGTGCTTGCATGAGCGTGCGCAAGGGCTTGCCATGCACACCTGCACAGGCTTGCACACACGTGGTGCACACTTGTATAGGAGTGCTATTGCACACAGCCTGGTAAGTGTGCACAAGAGTGGTGCGCATGCATGTAAACTCGCACAGGGCCATCACACCCTTGGATAAGTGTGCACAAGGACACTGCACATGTGCAAGCATGCACAAGGGCCACCACATACACCCAGGTGAGCGAATGCACATCTGCAAACGTGCTTGGGGACCATCACGCACACAGGTAAGCATGCACAAGAGTGGTGTGCACATGTGCAAGCTCGCACAGGGGCCATCCAGGTGAGCGCACACACACACAAGTGTGCGTGAGGATTATCCCACCCCCTGGTAAGCGTGCAAGAAAGCAGCGTGCATGCACACAAGCCGTCGCACCGCAGGTGAGCGTGCACGTGGGTGGTGCATACACATGCAAGGGTGCATGAGGGCTGCTCCCAGGGCAAGCGTGCCCACCCTGAGCGTCTAAGGTGCCCCAGGGGCCAGCGTGCGAGGCCGGGGGCCAGCGTGCCAGCCCTCCCCGCTCACCTTGATCTCCCCGGCGGCCACCTTGAAGGAGAGCTCCACCAGGCAGCCCACTGCCATGCGCACGGCGCTGGAGGAGTGCATCTCGTTCCACACCGTGTCACTGTCCACCTGCAGGGGTGGGGGGGGTGGGACCCACACAGGGACACATCAGTGGGACCAGGCCAAGCCCAAGGATGCCCCCCCACCCCCCAGGGCCACCCCCACCTACTCACCCCAATGCCCCCGCATGGCAGCACCGTGTACATCTTCTGGCTGATGGGACCTGGTGGGGCGGAGAAGACCGTGACAACGGGGGGAGCCAGCGGGGATAGTGTCCCCCACCCCCAACTCCAGGAGGGGATCCAGGCATCCGGGTGACCCCTCCTGTCCCAGCTGGAACCTACCTAGGAGCTTTTTGCTGTCAAGTTTCTGGCGGTTGAGGGGGCTGGTGCCGTAGAGCAGCGTGTGATGCTCTGAGTGCACCGTCTGGATCTCCTCCAGCGTCGCCTTCCTGCCCCGGATGCGCTGGGAAAAGGGAAGGGACACGGACACACACACAGAGCAGTGAGCCCCCCCCAAACAAGGTGAAGAGGGGACCCCCACCCCGGGATGGTGTGTGGTGGCCTCACCTCGCATTTGCCAAGGAGACCGGTCTCCTGAAGGCGGGACCAGATGCTCTGGATGCGGCCGGCGTGCCCCCCCGCCCCCCGGGACATGGGCACCCCACAGGACATGGGCATCCCATGGGAAACTGGGATCCCCAGGCACCCCAAGGAATGGGAAACCCTGTGGGAGAAGGGGCATCCTGTAGGACATGGGTGCTCCTTGGGCACCGAGGGACTGGGGGATCCTTGGACACCCCAAGGGATTGGGAACCCCAGGGGACAGAGGGATCCCACGGGATAGGGGGACCCCTTGGCAACCCAAGGGATTGGGAACCCCAGGGGACAGTGGGATTGCAGGAGATAGGAGCAACCCCAGCCACCCGAATGAATGGGGCACCCCATGGGACAGGAAATCCTACGGGAGAAGGGGACCCTGTAGGACATGGGTGCTCCTTGAGCACCCTGAGGGACTGGGGGACCCTTGGGCACCCCAAGGGATGGGGCACCCCATGGGACAAGGGCAATCTGGGCACACGAAGGGACGGGGCCACCTCATGGGACATGGGCAAACCAAGGGATGGGGCACCCTGGGGAGCAGGGGGGCACCCTTGGGCACATTGAGGGGACAGGGACACCCCATGGGATAAGGGACGCCCCTGAGCCCACCAAGGGATGGGGCACCCCACGGCCAGGGTCACCTCTGGGCACCCTGAGGGATGTGGCACCCTGGGGGGGGACACGGGCCATTGGGGTCACCCAAGGGATGG